ATGCATAATCACATAACATACCTGTCAGCTGATATAGAAAAATAACATTAGGAGAGTGTTTAATGTATTCTAGCTTATTTTAATGCAGTTTAGCCATTGGAAATTAGGAGGAAAGTGCCACATGATCAGCCAGCTCTCCAGAGACTAAAAGCTAGTTCTCCATGGTCCACAGTTTGGGAACCTCTATTGTCAACTCCTTTAATGAGGTTCATTGCAAGATTGCTCTCTACAGTATACTAAATAGTGCTTTCTCCAATCTTGCTTTAAATGTCCCAAGCATCAGCACTATGCTATTATTATCTAGAAGAGGGAGAGAGAGTGACAGTGGCATGAGATCATGTAATTTTTATAATTTTTAAAAGTAAATGTTGATAAATTGATTTTCACCGATACTTCCATATTAATGTTTCATCTTCTTAATGGTGATGTTGCCTTCCAATCTTCTTGGTTTCTGCCAAACTGATAGGAAGACACTTAAATATGAAAAGCAATGTCATTGGGACCAATTGTTCATATATGTTTTGAGCCAAACCTCAGTGAGATCAAAGATAACCTTTCCTTTGACTTCCATGGGCTTTAGATCAGGCCCATATATTGCAGAGCTTTTAGGAAATATACTTGGAAGGGAATTTGACTGATTACATTATATCTTTGACATTTACCAGAGAAAGTGTAATATTTGTATGGATTGAAATTTGAATTTTAACGAACATCAACAACACTTTACTTCGGTGTGTGTGTGGGAATATTCTCTTGTACACTAATTGAGAAAACAGCCACCAAGTGTTCTTTTAAAGTTTCAGATAAATGCTTTCTGGGGTGGCTATGCTGCCACTGCAAAGGAGACACACCAGGTATATGTATGTGGGCACAATATTCCATAATAATCAGTTTGTTTAAAACCGTCTCTGGATACCTGGGGGTATAATCAGCTCTTACCACATGCATGAAGCCACCATTAGTGCTCCTGGGAATCATACTCAGACATCCATGACAGATTCTACTGTTTATAGTTTAATTTACATATCTAGTTATGAGGTTGATGAGATCATTTTAATTTTTAAATCACAGATTTAAAAGCAGGAATGACATTGCAAATTCTTAATACACTCAGTTACACTTCTGATAATCAGTATCTGTGGATTACCTGTTCTGTTCATTCCCTCTGGGGGACCTGGCATTGGCCACTGTCGAAAGACAGGATAGTGGGCTAGATGGACCGTTGGTCTGACCCAGTATGGCTGTTCTGATGTTCTATGTTTAGAAGGTTGGGGTTATGAATGTAGAATGGTCACATAGTCTGTGTGAGGAGACCCTATTAAGGAGATTAAAGTAATTATTTCTAGATATTCATTAAGGTATTGAATATGTATGACCTCAATGCCACACAATATTTATATTCTGCCTATGGGTAATTTTCAAGTACATGTAAATGTTCTTTGGTGGACTTTGTCCAATTTCCTTAATTTACAAGGATAAACTAATTACTAGAATCTCATTCATTTCTACACAATATAACTTATTCAAACTGCATATAACAGAGTAAACCCACTAACCATATATTTCACCATCACTAGATTTTTTTTAATTCACAAAATATAGATAAAATGTAGTGCCCTTCATACAGAATTCTAAACAGAACCAAACACAAGAGTCAAAATGAGCCCAAGCCTATTTTTAGAGTACACTGACTCACCTTTTTACCAAAGCTTTTACACAATAACTGAAGATAATTATTAAGTATACACATTAACTAAAGACACTTGCTCTGATCTACAGGGTCTGAACACCCACAACTTGTGCGGATGTCAATGCAAGTCACTGAGTGTTAGGTATCTACTCTATAGCTATGCCGCTGTAGCGCCATAGTGTAGACACTTGCAACAGCGATGGAAGGTTTTTCAGTTGCTGTACTTAATCCACTGCTCCAAGAGGCAGTAGCTAGGTTGACAGAATTCTTCTACTGATCTAGTGGTGTCTATACTGGAGCTTAGGTCACCTTAACTACATCTCTGAGGGGTGTGAATTCTTCCTACCCCTGAGCGACACGTCCAGGTTGACCTAAGTTTTAGGTGTAGATCAGACATTATGTCCCTTTAAAAGTCCCAGGCCAGGCCAAGTAAATTGAGGTAGCTGAATTTAAGAGAGGTTAAGAGCAGGCTCCAATATGGTCAACCCATCTGAATATTAAGTGCTGTATTTGTTTGTTATAGATAGCATAAACTGAAGAGGGAAGTGTATAAAGTAAAATACAAATATTTATTTAAAATAGATAGAGTTTAATAAACATATTATATATTATTTAACATATGATATGTTCCACTCACTATACAATAATCTAGGTCATATGCTGCAATGGCTATCAAGACTTTTGTGGCAGTCACAAGCATTTGCTTCACCTGTTGATTCTCAAGACATCCAAGCAATGCCAATACTGTATCCACTGTAAAAAACAAAAACAAAAACAATATAGCTTGGTATGTTCTTCTATGTATTCATCTTTTAGTATTGCCAACCCCAAGCATTCAAAAATCATGTCAAGACCCCCAAAATCACATGGTTATTTAAAAAAATTGGGGGTCTTTTTATTTGCCTACTGTTTGAGCCTTTAGGTTAAGGTTAGGTGTTCAAGCTTGTATCCACAACCCCACGGGCTAGAAACATACTTAAAAATAAACAAAAGCTGATATTCTCTCATCATCACATGACTCAAGAAGTGAGGGCTTTAAGAAATGTCAGGAGACTCTTGATTAAATCATGAGTTGACAACACCAGAAACTGACTGAAAAGCACTGGAAAATTAGCAGTTAATTAAATAAACAATACCACGGTAGCCTAATTTTTTAAGACAGTTCTGATAGTAAGCATTCTGGTAAATCCCCACTTACTTTGAACACATAAGAATTCTCTAGATGATAAAATTGTATATTACTACCCAATTACAATGAGTCCCTGAGTTACTCATCGTGACTGCTTTATGGATTTAGTTTCACAACATAATAATGAGTTCATCCTGGCTTCCTGAAATATCTGTAGAGATTATACACACACTTACTTTTTTCACAAATGGTGACAATTTTAAATAAATAAGACAACATGACCACTGCTTAAAAAATAAAATCACTTTTGAATTACACTAAAAATTGACTTTCTGTAAACATTTCTGAGAATCCTGTAGTATTTAGCAAATGAAGAGTCCCACTGATTCAGCAATGATGACTCAGATGGGCAAGTAAGGCCCAAATGTTTTTGAGAAACACATGATAGTTTTACAGTCCACAGATACATGTGAGAAGGGTATGTGTTATCTGTGTTAATATATTATATATTATAAGCATAAAGACATACTTTACAAGCAAATTATTATTTGTATTCTTGTGACACCTAAGAGACCTAGTCATGGATCTGGCCCCTATTGTGCTAGGTGCTGTACAAACACAGAACAAAAAGATTTTCCCTGCCCCATTCATACTTATTTTAAATATATACATTAAATGCTTTGGATGTATAAACAGAATTGCATATCTTTATATTTTGATTATATTGCTATTAAAAACCCTCCTTATTTCCCAAATTCCCTCCTTATTTGTCTCTCACATATAACTCTTATTGCAACAACATTAATAGAAATAACTTTGCCAGTTTTGATTCCTCCTGAAATTTTAGCTTTCCACTATTTTTGAAAAACAGTAGTTTATAGATTACTGCTGTTTTCTGTTATTCAGTAAAACATGAAACCAAATGGCAGCATCACTCAGAAAGAATAGAAAATAAAGAAATAACTTAGAAAAACAAAAACAAGTGTATTAAGGGGAAAGAGAAGAGCAGCAGTGAAGAAGTAATGAAATCCTCCCTGCATCCTAAGTAAATGTCTGTACTAATTCTAAAAATAATATGGCAAAGAGCTGGCAGTTTGTTGTGGATGGAGGATGGTTGCTCCTGGGAGGTTATAATTTGCTTTGGGAATAAGGATGTATGAATTTGTCCTCTCTTCCTCCTGCCTTGGTGCATTACCAAAGAGCCCCTTGAATTGGGATGAGAATGCTGGTGTTTCTCCTTTTCTTCTTTTTCCCTGATACATCAGCTTCCTGTGCAGAGCCCTTTGCACTGGGGGTGATTATTCTTGTGTTTCTCCTGCTACCCTGTTGCATCAACTTCCTGTGCAAAGCCCCATGCATTGGGGTGATGATTCTTGTGTTTTTTCCTGTTGCCCTTATGTATCGGTTTCCTATGCAAAATCCTTTACAGTAGGGTGAAGATGCTTGTGTTGCTGCTGCCTTAGTGCATGAACTGCCTGTGTAAATCCCCTTGCATTGGGGTGAGTATTTATGTTTCTCCTCCTGCCATGGTGCATCAACTTCCTGTGTAGAATCCCTTGCATTGGGGGTGAGGATGCTTGTGCTTCTGCTAGTGCCCTGGTGCATCAGCTTCCTGTGCAGAATCCTTTGCATTGGGGTGAGGATGCTTATGTTTCTCCCCTTGTCTTGGTGCATCGGCTTTCCTACGCAGAACCCCTTGCGCATTGGGGTGAGGATGCTTGTGCTGCTCTCCTGCTGCTGCCTGCCCCGGTGCATGCTCGCTCCCTCCCTCCCCCGCTGCTGCTCCACTAGAGTTTGCTGCCCTACTTCACTCTACTTTAGTTTCACTCACTTTACATCCGGGTTTTTTCCCTAGGCAATGGGAGCCGTAGCACAGCCCGTTCCTTAGGCAAAGGGAAATAAATTCGCCGCACCAACACGTCAAGTAGTCCCCTCAGGAGGAGCCAGCGAACCCTCCCTCCCCCCCCAGCGGAGGCCGGCGACCCCTCCTTCTTCACTCCCAGGGAGGCGGCATGGGGTCCAGAGAGGGGGGAGCCCGCCTCGCCCCCAATCTCTGTTTCCTCCCCCGTCTCCTCCCCTCCTCCCCTTCCCCGCTTCAGAGCCGGAGTAGCTGTGAGAGAGTGTGTCGGGCGCGCGCAGCGGTAGCTCGGGCGCGCGCCCCAGGCAGGCAGGGAGGCCGGCGGCGGAGTGATCCCGGCGAGCGGGTGCTGCGGCCGGGCCGGGTGAATGGGATTGAAGAAGAGTTCAGCTTCTCGGCTTGTTTTTGTGTCACAGTTTCTCTTCTCCTGCGCCTCTTCTGCTTCGTTCCTTTCTTCCCGTCCGCCCCCTGCTCCCCCCTGCAGGAGGAGCCCCCTGGGGAGAGGGGGAAGGAAAAGGACCTCCCAGAGGAGAGAGAGAAGAGGAGGAGGAGAAGGGAGCAACCTACCATCTTCCACTCCCAGCTTAGATTAAAGAAAGTGAGAGGAGGAGAGAGAGGAGCCCAGAAGAGGGGGACAGGGAGGCCCAGAGGAGCCGCAGCACCTTCCCCCTATGAAGAAGAGCCCTCCCCCTCAGAGAGAGGTCCTGCCAGGGGGACCCCAGCCAGCCACCAGCAGCAGCACCACCAGCAGGGTGTAGTATCCCACCTTTTGGATTCTCCTCCTCCTCCCTATTCTCTCCTTCTGCTCTTTTCTATGAGTAGCTCTATCCCTCGCCTCCCCCGTGCTTTTCTGTCTGTGTCTCAGGGAGTTGGTTGGGGGAGGGTGGAGGAGGATAGCTGGGGTGTTGGGGGAGGAGCAGTCTACATAGGACGCTTGAGCCAACTTGGAGCTGAGGAGCAACAACTTCAGTGTAACCCCCCCCACCCCAGGCCTCCGACCCCCAAGGGGATAGAGCCCTAGGGGGCCATGTCCTTTCTCCCGCCCCTGCATGCACTGAAATAAGTTTCTGAGGAGGGGGAGCGAGAGATGGAGGTGGGTGACACATTGGGGTTGTGGTGAGGAGTAGGGGGAAGGAGATGACACACTGCACTGGGGATGGGGTGGGGGGAGGGAGGTTTATCCCCTCCTCTCTGGTTTTTCTTCAGAATGATTATTTTCAGGCCTTTTGCTGTTGGTTTGATTTGTTCCCTGTGATGCTGAGAGGGAAGTTTTATTATTATATTTGAAACGATGCTGTTTTGATTATTGAGAATTTGTAGTAAAGCTGCTACTGCAGGTTTTTTTTTTTTTTGTGCTTTAATTTGCCTTTGTGGCCAGAGCAGTACTGGGAAAATTCCGTTTCTGCAAGTTGTAATTCAGAAGTATCTCCTGCTCCCCTCGTTCTGGGTCTGCCCTTCTTGCACAGGTACAAAGCTCAGTGGAAGGACCCCTCTGGGATTTCACACTCCTACTTTGGCACATATTTGCAATGATTAGAGACGTGTACCTTTTCTCTTCCATTTCTCTCTCTGTGTAGGAGGAGTGGGGCTGTGTGTGGGACTCTGCCATTTGGTCTAGTCCCGTTGTGCACGCTCCTCTCACCACTTCTTTTTCTGTTTGCTTCTTTATTATTCTGAGCTTCACTGTTGATAGGATTTCTTTCTCTCTGACCACATTTTTAGCTTGGTGGGTGTTTGCAGGACTGCACTGTTAGATTTTAGATGAATTTATATTGGATCCGCACATGGTGTCCTTCATTCAACTTCTACTCACTTGAGTGTCACAAAATGAGTATGCACTGGTTAGAGTACAAATGTGCTTGAACAGAGTAATTTCCAAGTTCCTAATTCTTTTAATGGGGCATGGTTGCTAGTGGAGTGGTGGTTTTTGTTTTCCTTGGTTTATAAATGTCATCACAGTTCAGTCACATGCTAGAATATTCTTTGTTTAGTTATCAAAGTAGAGTATCTATTCAATATGTCCCCACTTTTTTATTTGAAGTGATGGTGCTCCCCTGCAAGTTTTATACATTTATAATTGTAGATGTGAGGTTCTTTTACTTGATGCTTGTTTAGGCCCAAGCACTGAACTTGACATGAACTTTTGTTCGTTTTTATCTCAGTAGTGACTGGGTTTAAAAAAATATCCTATTGGGGACAGTAATTGTCATGTTGTGTATTGTGTACAGTAGGTCTGAGTGAGGGAAAAATCTGATATGGGCAACTTGTGCCCTGGAATATTAACATTTTAATAATTAGAGAGTGACATAGCTACATTTGCACATGGGTTAGTTGGATGAGTGCAAGAATTTTCTCAGCCTAAGTTCATTCTAATAAAGAATGAATTTATCATCACATTAAACATATATTACCTTGGTTTCAGAAGGAAAACTAAAGGGCAGTTAACCCATATGCTTATATTAATGGGGCACTTATATTAATATCTTAGAATTTGAAGTATCTAATGTGCTTTCTGCTATTTAAAATGTTGGTTTGCTTTTTGCCTTCTACTCAACTTTAACAATGAAAACAAGTGGTTAGTTTCACTTTTGATTGTAGTCAGTTTCATATTTGAGATTTCTTCATTCTCTAACCCAAAGCTGGTGCTGTTTCAATTTGCTATATTGTAGGGGAATGTTTAAATATCAAAAGAAACTTATTTGTCATTAAAATTAATTGAAGAAAAATGGTAATAGGTTTTATAGAAGCTTAATAAAAACTTAGATTGTTTTTAAGTTTTGTGTCTTAACCTACTTGCCAGTGTTCCTGTAAAGATATAATGCAAAACACAAACAACGCCCCCTCCCCCATCCAACCTACAAACTTTTGAAAGGTCTGTTTTAGGTAAAATATGTTAATAGTCCTGAGAGTTGGTAACTATGTCCAACATTAACATACTTCTGTATATTTAAAATTGTATTTGATTAGTATTTAAGAGCAAGGTCTCCAACCAACCAAAAACTTCACCCACAGCACAACTAGTGTTTTATAAATCCATACTAGTTAAAATAGTTATTCACCCACATTTTAGTACAGACATCACTTTTTTAATCTGGGAACCGCTTTGATTTCTGAATGAAATTATTAGTTTTCCTGAAGTAAAGAATTTTGTAGTTTAGTAAATATTGTGGTAGTTTTAAACATTTATTTTTCCATGGAATTGTTGTTCACTTAAAACTTTTGTCTTAGTGAGATGAAAAAATTAGATTCTCGTGTGTGTGTGCTTATATCTTTTAAGAGTTTGAGCAACTCACAGAAGGGATGTTAAGCAATCCTCTTACATGATTGGAAAGTTAAAAGTATCCTCTCCTTTTGTCACCTTTTGAAGTTCTCTTTTTGTACAAGCAGATCTTTGGAAGGTATTATCCAGCAGGAGGTGCTTGTGCTGCAAATGCCCATCAGTAGCTGGAAGTCTACATCATACCTGCAACATACTTGAGCTCTATTGATCTGGGCAATGAAGAATATGATTTTACTCCCAAAGTTGGGTTATTGAGTTTCATTTAAGAAGTAGCAAGCTTGGTGTACTGATACATAATTAAAGGGAGTCTCTCAAGGTATTTTTCATAATTCAAAAAGTATTTTTACTGTTGTCTATGAATAATTACCCATTGGAAGGTTAATATTTGAAGTCTTTCCTTCTGGTTTTTTCTTTCCCTTGTGCATGTAGGGTTATTTATGCATCCTGAACTGGGCTACTCTTGCCAGTTTGTTTTTATAAGGGTACAGAAGTCTGCTGGGTTGCTGGCACTGACTTTCTTCCCTTTGGGAAGTGAAAATATAAAAGCATTTTATTTTTAAAATATTTGGAGAGGAGTTGTAGGAAGTCATGGATTTTACAGTTGTGTGTGTTGGTTTTTTTTTTTAAATATTTGTATGTTCAGTTTTGGCCATAAAAAACTTCGACAGTAAGTCAAAGTTTTTTAATGTAGGATTTTTAAAGTGTATACCCTGCCCCTTAGTGTTGAACTTGCATTTCTATTCATAGTACAGGGCCTGAGTATTTCTTATTCTCTCTATATTCCTATTTTGAGGGTGGTATACTGAGAAGTTTTGAAAATGTAGATAGAAATTGTAAACTTTTTTTTGCATATTATTGAACTGATTGGATATGCACAAAACAGATCAGTTTCTTGTTTTAAAAATATAAAGTTTGTTTTAATTGGGCCCTTAGAGGTTTTGTTGTTTTTGTATACTGTAGGAAAGTTCTAATAGTGAAGATATGTCATAATTGTAATTGTAATCATGCAGTTTGTTTTATAGGGAAGTAACTGTCCTTTAAATATGAAAATATTGGCGCTATTTAACTGTTCCAGAGTATTCGGTATGCTTTGTGCTCTGGAGAACTTTACTTGAATGAAATGAATTAATATCATTGGAATTTGTTTACTACTGGTATTTCTGGTTAAATCTAACATACATTTTAAAATTTACAGGGACTTTGTGGGGTATCTTATTTAGTATGTTTTGGACACTGCATATTAGATAAACTGCCCTGGTGCTTTGTTATTCTGTGCATCTTCATGTATATGTCTATAATTAGATATCTTTTTGAACTCTCTACAACTTGGTATGGCCACAGACTATGGAGGAAAGCTTCTTTACAGAATTTAAGAGGTGGACACCATCTTTAACTATTTCCACCAAGACTTAAGTATCAAGGGAAACAGAGCATAATGCTGTAAGGGTATATAACTTTTAAGATGTCTGAACCCATAGAGTCCAATTACTGTGGCTAGAAAGAGGGGGAGGGATAGCTCAGTAGTTTGAGCATTGGCCTGCTTAAACCCAGGGTTGTGAGTTCAATCCTTGAGGGGGCCATTTAGGGATCTGGGGCAAAAAATCTGTCTGGGGATTGGTCCTGCTTTGAGCAGGGGGTTGGACTAGATGACCTCCTGAGGTTCCTTTCAACCCTGATATTCTAACCTTGTTTTGAAATTTTTCTGTGCCAGGCATGAGGATACTGTGGGTTTTACCACGCAAACCTTTACTTGTACAAATAGTCTCCCTGAAATGGGGAATATCTAGTCTCTTCTATAGGTGTGGAGTCACTCTAGAAGAGGGAGCTGGTGCAGTTCCACTGTGCAGAGGGGCGTACCGTGGGCCTGACCGTGCAGGAGGAGAGGCCCCAATATAGGAGGGAAAATGCAAGAAGATCCATCATTATATGTATCTTGTCTTCCCCTACTCCCACATGGGGCAGTGTAAGAATCTACTGAGGCTAGTTCTGCCACCTAAGGTCTGGAGGGACGATTCCTGCCCCTGTGCATGTTCTGATTGCCCCATCAAGTTACTTGTACCAGAAACTAGTCTCAGGGTTTGTGCTAATGCGTTCTACTTACACAAAAGTTTGTAGGCTCAAACCATATATTGAGAAGGTGGAACAAGTGTGGTACAGGTTTTTGTGTGTATTGACTGCAACAGGCTAGATGTTTGTGTCCTGTCTTGTTAATACTTGTTAATAGTTTTTGTACATGTCTTGCATGTAATAGGTGGTGAAAAGATTAATATGTCAAGTTTGGTCTGGTGTTGAGGAGGTGTTTGGCGCGTGTCAATTACGAAGGTGCAGATTGTGCCTGTAGAAAGTGGGTTTAATTTTGGATGGAGGTATTAGGAGTACTTTTACATTTCTTTATTTTCCCAATCTTTTTATTTTGTCAAGTTATAGGGACTCCACCAATTTAAAAGTTTCTTCTATATGATTCTTTTTACC